TAGGGACGTTCTGCGCCAAAAAATGAAACGTAGGGACGTTTTCCACAAGACCCATCATAGGTAGGGACGTTTTGCGCCAATTACCCTTTTATTTAACGGTGGATTCTAACGGGAGTTGGACGGAAGGACGTTTTGCGCAAGAAAATGCAAAGGTAGGGACGTTCTGCACCAAGAAATCAAACGTAGGGACGTTTTCCACAAGGACTGTCATAGGTAGGGACGTTTTGCACCAATAACCCTTTTTTTTAATATCAAAATTTATTGTCTAATTGCTTTTTCAACGAAAATGATTTGGAGAATTGTCATTTACCAATCGAACTTATCCTGCTGGCATAATCCTCAATACCTAATATATTAATTTCTTCATTTTTTGGGGTCAATTTAGAGAAAAATAAATAAAGTGTCCCCACTTTTGATAGGGGTCACTGTCTATTTCATGGCAAATCAGGGCATAATATAATAACTAATGTCATGTCTGTACCATCTATAATAGTTCATTTTGTTGCAAATGAAAAGCAGTGAGGTTAAAATTGTCATTTCAACTTTGTAGACATGGGAGAGAGAAACTAATTTCTGGTAGCTGATGTAATGCATTTTGAAATCTACTACCTTTTATCCTTGCAGGCAGCTGTTTTCGAATACTAGGTGCTTTGGCTTAAGGGGGGTAATTTGGGAAATACACTTAGATATGTCAAAAGAGCACATGATGATATATTCCAAGAATCCTTAACAAAATCGAGTATGTATTTCTTAAACAACATTAATTAATGCGTGTTGGTCCGGATAATTTTGTCTATAGTTGAAAAGAATTATTGAAATTGTGAAATCTTCAACTATTTTTGTAACAGAAAAATAAGTCATAAAGTTACTCACGATTCAAACTGTTTGTTCAATGTAGGAATCACATATTTGAACTGAAAAAAATAAAATCGTATGGCTATGGATTTGATGGGTCTCATTCTTTTCCTCGATTAATAATTCACAAATTTATCTATTTTTAACATTTTATTTTGTGAAAAAACTTTGTTCTTGTCTAGATTGCATCAACCCAATCAACTTAATCCTTAAGTAGACCATTCAATTCTTTATATGAATAATTCAATCGTCCAAACTGAATTGGTATAAACTTTCCTCGAATAGTAATTCATATTTGCCCCCATTTTATCTATTTGTATTAGTGTGATACTTCATAAAACTAATAGTAGTAATAGTGAGTTCATATTTAATACGCAGGATTAAATTGTACTTTAAAATACGATGAACAAGAATTTAAATTCAGATATGGGTTTAATTCACTCGACTAAATATCTAAGAAGTGAAGAGTCGAAATGAGATGTACTTGGTCAAGTTTAAAGGAGGATGGCCTTATTTCAAACTAAAAACAACTTATTAGATTGCCTAGAAAACACGCTTCTTCCACCTCCACAACATCAAGTATTTATGCACTCGTATTGCTCATATGTCGTCCTTTTGTCACAACTTCTCTCAGACTTTTAAGGTCAGTTTAGTGGCTTCTGCCTCTCTTATTTCTCCATTAAATTTTGCCATTTCTTTCCATCTTTTGCGTGGCGTTTCTCTCAATTCAGTTTTATCCACTTTGTATTTAATTATTTGAGATTGATTTTCTGAAAGTTGGAACTGTTTGGCAAGAATCCATTAAAAAGTCATCCATATCTTAGTCATTTATTGATAATATTCACCGTTGTCCATCGACTACTGTTTTCAAGCAGAAGAGTCGTTTGCAAGAAGTGTTCGGGTTTGGACGATGGAGAAGAATCTTGGAGTTGTGAAAGAGGAGGATCAAATGGAATTGCCTCCTGGATTTAGATTTCACCCAACAGATGAAGAATTGATTACTCATTATTTATCAAAGAAAGTTCTTGATAACAATTTCTCTGCTATAGCTATAACAGAGGTGGATATGAACAAGATTGAGCCATGGGATTTGCCATGTCAGTTGTTTATTAAATTCTTCTGTTATTTTTTTTTTTTAATGGCTTCAATTTAATTTATTTTTAATTAATTTTGGTTTTTTTGTTAAAGGGAGAGCAAAAGTGGGGGAAAAGGAATGGTACTTTTTCTGTGTAAGAGACAAAAAGTATCCCACTGGTCTCAGAACAAACAGGGCTACTGCTGCAGGTTACTGGAAAGCCACTGGTAAAGACAGAGAAATATTTAGAGGAAAAATCCTTGTCGGAATGAAGAAAACCTTAGTTTTCTACAGGGGAAGAGCCCCGAAAGGCGAAAAATCAAATTGGGTTGCTCATGAGTACAGATTAGAAGGAAAATTCTCTGTCCACAACCTCCCAAAACCAGCTAAGGTACGGCTATATATATTCATTCTATGTTAATTTTAAGATTTGATATAGATGAATTGACTTAGATTTTGCTGCAGAATGATTGGGTGATTTGCAGGGTATTTCACAAGTGCTCCAGTGTGAAAAGGGATCCATTTAATGAGTTGGCCCCTTCAATTCTGCCACCTTTAATGGACGACTCTTCGCCATTTGTATCTGAATCCGGTCACGTGCACTGCTTCTCCAATCCCATTCCGGTCGTTGCTCAAAAGAGTCAAGAAGATGCGGTTCCTTGTTTCAACGACCCTTTCTCTGCTAATCCAATGGATACATTTACCACTGCTTCTACCTTTTCTTGGGGACAAATTGGTTCAATCCAGGGAGGATTTCGGTTTCCAGGTTCAATTCCACAGCAAGATCCCTCAATCCAGAGGACTTTACTTGGAAATTATGGCCAAAATATGATTCAGAACTCCAAAAATCAGAACGAAATGGTCAGTATATCACAAGAAACTGGCACAACCACCGATATCAACACTGAAATTTCTTCTGTTGTATCAAATCATGATATGGGAAGGCAGTCAACTGATGATCAAGAGGGACCTTCAACTTCAGTAAACCTACAGAATTTGGGCTGTGTTTGGAGTTACTAAAAAATTCTAGATTAAAAAATTAAGAACTTCAGTTTGCTTATAAAATGATTGTGTGTATTAAAGTTTGTATTAGAATGAGGCTATACATTTTGTAATAATCAGTTGGTTTCTCTATTTCTATGATAAACTTTATGACAGAATTGATTGCTAACCGATCTTTCCGTTGTTGTTTATATTAATTTCTATGTTGTTTTCACCGAGGATGCGGGCGAATATCGTTTAGGATATGGAAAGACACATATGCAAAAACACCGTACAAACATAATTTTTTTTGTACACTAACAATTTTATACGCGGTATTTTAGGGATCTAGCTTCACTGTTAATGACTTAGTCAAGGACAAAAATGAGCACCATTGTCGTGGCTTTAGTTTATTAAATTTTCTATGACAATAACATCATATTAATATACCTTAAAAAAATATATATATAAAAATATAAATATAATCCTATTTATCTTCTATTTTTGGTGAAGTGTCTATTTTGTAAATTCCATGGATGCATCAGCACAGTTTGAAAACAGTGGTTTTTAGGTAGGAATTCTCTTTCATTCAATTAAACTAAATTGGTGATGCGACAATATTCTCACATTTTCTTAATATCTACCCTTCTCTTCAACACTCAAATTCTCTATATTAATATAAAATTTTCTTAATGTACTTCAAAAATAATCTTCTAATATTATATTTGGGATAAATTCCTTTGACGATCATTTCTCCAACGCAAATTCGTGTTCCCAACGTTTTAAATATTGTGTGTACATGATTCCCGTATCATGAAAAATTTCTATTTGGACGTAACCATATTTACAACATAAGTTTTATTTGTTGTACTTCAATTTAATTGCAATAAACGTCCTTAACTTTTTTATTATTAAACCTCCAATTAATTTAAACGTTTTGTCCTTAAAATGAAAACAAAGTAAAGAATTTTATCTCTATATCAATTAGACATCAAATTCGTATCACATGGACATTTGCCGTCAAAATCAACATTTCAATTTTTAATGGGGATATCACGCGGACAATATTAAAATATTGGAGATATGACCATTACAAATGAAAGTTTGAAAACATGATTTCAACAATTATGAAGGATTAAACACTTGTGGACAAATTTACCCTATATATGTATTTTGTTTTGTACATATGGATGAGGAGTTGCTAATTGTCGAAACTTGAGCGGGTGGGGTCCATACAAAGAATTTTGTACACGAAGTCCCTATTTGACAGAGATTAAGATCAAATTTTTAGTAGATTTTGATAAAAATTTATGAAATGTGTAGTTGAAAAGTAGTGAAATTCATTAAATGTGCGTTTAAAATTAATGGTTGATTTTGATTTGAAATTTTAATTGAATTTATTTCAAGCGAGCGGCTCAGGTTTGTTGCTGACGTTGGCCCAACTAACAGTGACATTTTGGCCACTCATCACCTGCGCGTGCCATATAAAAACCACAACTGGGCCAGTGTCCAGTTGTCTTCTTTTCCTCGTGTGGATTCCACGTGCTGCTATTATTTTATTCTCGAAAATTGTGATTGCTTCCATACAATAATAATCATCATATGAACAATTGAGAGCTTATGCACAACACCTGAAGTAACATGCGTATACTTCGAACGGGTCGTTTGAGATGTCGAGGACATAGTAGAGTTCCCGTCCAAATAGATCGACTTGTTCGAATGTCTTCTACATTTTGAACTTGTTTGAGTCCCATTATTTTATAAAAATGTTTTTTAATTGGAAAGGTTTGGGACCTCTGCTGCAATTATCCCTAATTTATTTGGACTCATTTGCACCTTTTAAAAAGTTTAGGAGTAAGATTACAATTTGATCATTACTTTTCTTTTATTTAAAAAGAAAGGTATATTAGTCATTTTACCATGAAAAACAGTGAAAATGATGTTTTGCTCAAGGAAACGTTGAAATAAGGGCGAAAATGCAAAAAAATGGAACGTAGGGACATTTTCTACAATAGGGGTCAAACATAGGGAAATTTTGCGCTATTAAGTCTTTTATTCTCGAAAATTGTGATTGCTTCCATACAATAATAATCATCGTATGAACAATTGAGAGTTTGGAAAAAACCATTTGTACACTTTTGTGTACATTAACTTTGACACTCCTCTCACAAAAGTATGTGAAACTCATGATTTTTTAAATTGCGAGGCCCCCACCTTTGTGAGAGGAATGTCAGCATGATGTACACCAAAGAGTGTACATAAAGCATGACTCAGAGAGTTTATGCACAACACCTGAAGTAACGTGTATACTTCGAACGGGTCTTTGAGATGTCAAGGACATAGTAGAGTTCCCGTCCGAGACAGATCAACTTTTTCGAATGTCTTCTACATTTTGCACTTGTTTGAGTCCCATTATTTTATAAAAATGTATTTTGGAATAGTAGGTTGATGGAGAATGTGCAGTTAAAAAATAAAAAAAGAAGTTTTGAATTTGCGTGTAATATTATCTTATTGAAAAATGTGTGGTTGAAAAGAAAAGAGAAAAAATATTTTGAAAAAAAAAATTGAAAATCAAACGAGGACTTTATTTTCTTGAATGATCGAAATTAGGAAATTACTCAACTCGATATAATTTTCCATTTTCTTTTTGCGAGTTAGTTACCCAAAAACTTCCCGTTAAATTTCAAATGAGACATTCTTACACAATCAACTATAATGAAAAATATAATATAAAATATTTGCCGTATCAGTTGTTCATATAGTTTGAACAGCTCACAACTCCAAATGGATCCAAACTAAATTTGACCCACTGCTCTGAGCCCTAAACCAGTTTGCACGGGTGGCCCAATCGAAGTCCATAATTAGAACTCGAAGGATCCGACCCATAAACGAATAGGGGAAAATATAATTTAAAAACAGCTTTTTCTATGTCACCGACATCATCACCAGTTTTCCTCTGGTTTATTAATTATTTTTTTTACCTCATTAAACCAAACTCTCCTAAATCCCAACGTTAACCGACCGTTGCCACTGAACTTCAGACTTGCAATGAATTTTTAGACCAAGGGAAAATGATATTCACACCACAATTTTTATTTTTTATACCAAATTTTAAATTGTACTTAAGGTTCTTAATTTTAGCCCATTATAACACTTATAAAGATGACGATGTTTCATCTAGGGGTTTCAGAGTGGAAATGTGAGTGGAATCCTATGAAATTGATGGATATTTCGTGGTTTGCTTGATGGGGTTGTATGTAATATCTACATTATTTGTAATTCTTAAGGATCCACTTTCGAATTCACAATAGTTCTCGATCAACTCCCAAGACATAAAAATATAGACTAGAAATGTGAACATAAAACCTATGAGAAAGGAAAATGAAGTACCTTTTCGAGGTAAAAAGTGAAAAGGCTTGGCTTCGACCACAGTTTAGAGTGAATTTGAAAGCGAGTCCTTAATAATTATAGATAATGTAGACATTACAGACAAACCCATCAAACAGACCAGGAAATATCCATCAAATTCATATGATTCCACTCACATTTCCACTCTGAAACCCCTAGAAACGGTGTCGTCATTGAAATAGGGGAGTGGTACCCGCTGGAACTAGTATTTCATATTGTTTGAGAACCCATTAAAATGCAATATCTCACTTTGTCATAAACATCTATTTCCTTGACATGTGGCATCACGTCAAGATTATATCAATCTTTCTTGTAGCAGGATTCTTCTTTGCAAAAGAAAAAAAATGAATTTGACTTTTTCATTGTGATCTTTAGCCTATGATTGACTCCCATTAATATGAGAGTTTTGTTTGTCATCTCGGGTTTTTATCCGTCTCTATCTCAAAAGGCATACTCTAGTAGGACTCTACTTCCATCTTCAAGCTTATCCAACTTCGATAGAATTGAATTCTAATTAGCTTACAATTTCTACTCATATTAAAATACTCAAGTCTTTTACATATCTTAAACAGATAAGGCTTCGAATATCTTAATCTTGTCAAGAATATCTCTATAAATACATGTTCTAATTCATTATTCAAGTATACTTTTACATTCAATTTAAAGGCTAACACTTATATTTCATCTTTTTGCTAACTTAAGTATCGAAGAGACAATGAGGGCACACTTCAATGCCTTTGTTTCATGTACTAGAGATTCCATTCGTGATTATCTTCAATCGTCAAGCTTGAGAATCAATCGATGATGGTTTTTTGTAACATCAATATGTATGCTAGTTGTGGTGTAATCAAGGCAACATTAGTGTATTGAAAAGGATGGAGAGGATAACTACTATTTCTTGAACAAGTATGACCACAGATTTTACAAAACAGGGGTATGGAGATCATGCACTTAGTGTCTTCCAGTGGATAGAAAGCATAGACGACATTACATCAGACCTGATGAAGTAACGTTCTTAGGGTCTTTCGGTGTATGTAGCCATGTTGGTTATGTCAATGAGGGACGCCGTTACTTTAAAAGAGTATGACTGCAACTTGAGGTATTAAGCCGATGATAGATCATTATGGGTGCATGGTAGATCTCTTGAGCCGTCTGGGCTATTCGATGAAGCAGAAGGGCTTGTGAAATCTATGCCAATGAATTCAGATGATGCGGGCGTAGGGTGCCTTTCTTGGTGGATGCAGCATTTACAAAAATGTTGATCTTGCTTCTGATGTAGCTCAGAATTGACTATGGAACTTGACCCTAAGCAAGCTACTGGCTACTTTGTGATATTGTCTAGGGCTGGACATGATCTGGTTTGGTTCGATTCTCTTTATAACCGATCCGAACCAAAATTTTCGGGTATTTAATAAATGGAACCGTCGGATCTAAATATAATTTTGGAACCATTCAGGTTCGGTTCTGTTCGGTTCAGTTAGTTCAGTTCCGTACTATATTTAAATTTTTAACAGATTTTTAATGGTCAACGATTGGTGGTCGTGGTTCGAGGTCGTGGCTTCGATGGACATTGGAGAGGGGAAGTCGGTGATTTCGATTTGGGCATGGGATGTATGTTTTCAATTTATGAAATGATTTGGGGTCATTGACTCGGTGGTTACCGAATAAAAGCGTAAAATTGGAAAGATAATGATAAAAACTTAAAAAGATATAAATTTTGGGCTAAGAATGAAATTAATAATATGACCAAAAAATTAAATTTAAAAATTGGGTTGGGTTGGACTGGACTAATTATGCATGGACTTGACTTGGGAGTTAGAACATTAATCACTAATCAGTTAATTTGCTAATTTGTTTTAAAAAAATTAATTAATTCAATATAAAAAATTAAAACAATTATTTAAATTCGGTTCTAGAACCGAGAACCGAACCAAACCAAACCCGTCGATTTTCGATTTAGATACTTGTTTAGGTATTTAACTTATGAAGAACCGTTCATTCAGTTTAGTTTGGTTCGGTTAGGTCCAGTCCGGTCCGATTCGAAAGTTTTGTCCAACCCTAATATTGTCAAATGAGTATGCTAGTGCCAGTAGGTTGCAAGATATGATTACTGTGAGGAAAAAGACGGTTAAAATGAGAATGAAGAAGCATTTTTTAAAACTCATTTTTCCTTGAATTCATTTTCAATCACATAGTTCATGAAATCTACAACTTTTATCAACTTTTCAATTACATATTATATCAACTTTCATAAAAAACTAATAAAAATCGAATTTTTAACTAAACCAAACATAAGCTTATTAAAGAAAAAATTCAAGTTTAATGATCTCATTCTAAAATAAATGAAAATATACATTACAATAATCAATTCAAAATATTCCATTAATTATTAAGGACAAAGGAAATATTAAATGGACATTTTAAAAACCCAACTTAAAAGACCTAACTAACCAATCAAAATAAATGATTGATGAAATAGCCAAGCCTTTTCCTCACGTGTGAGAGAGCAAGTGGTTTTCATCCTAAATCCTAACCAATCAAATGGATGATATATATTTTATCTAGTGGGCAAAATTAAAAGTAGCACGTGCGAGTGTGTATACGTGTGGGCCCCTATAAATTTCTATGAAACTATCTTCAATACTTATTACTCGTTTAGAGATCTTCACGTGACGTGGCCTTCCCTCTATCTCAAACCAACTATCTTCCACTTTTACCCTCTCTTTAGTCTCCACGTAATCACTTTTTCTAAAATGCGCCACTACCTCACCACACGACCCCTCAGTTCATCCTCGCCTTTAAATCCAAATATCTAACGGTTCAGGACCTTGACAAGTAGGCAAGCGTAAGTTAGCATTCACCACTACCGAATACAAAAGCGCCATTAAAAAAAATGACAGTATTATTAATTTATTCGAAAAGCTGAAAAAAAGAACACCATAAGTAGAGGCAGAAGTCTTCCTTCTCTTTCTTGTATTGATACAAATGACAGTTGTACTGTATATCCATACAGATAAACTTAGGCCGGTCGGGAGTGAATGCTAACCTTTGCCGGCTCGGGGTTTGGATTTTTTTTTGAAGCGGCGGCGTTGTGTAATATTTGCAGTTTAGATTAAAGTGGTTGCAGAAATTGACTACTCGCTTGCCGTTTATGGATAGAGAATTTTTGTGCTTGTTGATAATTTACGTCGTTTAGGTACCCCACAGTTAAACCTACCCGCCCTTTAGTGTTGTTCTTTACAGGAAGTAATATCTAATTTGATTAGGGGATTTTGTAATGAATCGTGATCTGTAAAATCGGAATTTTTGGGGGAAGTGTAATTTATGACCTAAGTATATATAGTTAAAATTGAGGGTTTTATTATTATTATTGCACCTTTTGGGGACCAAAATATGGAATTGTAGTATTTTTGCTCAATTTTTTCGAGGGGAGAGTGGGGGTGATGGAGAAGAGTGAGATAGGGAAGAGCGGGGAAGGATTTATTGATAGGAGTAAGGTGAGGATTTTGGTTTGCGATAATGATACGAAGAGTTCCGAGGAGGTTTTTACGCTTCTCTGTAAATGTTCTTATCAAGGTAATATTCTATTTTTGTCATTTCTTATTGTTTGCTTAGATTTATTTCTCCATTTGGTCTGTGTTTTAATTATGAGTTCAGGTTTATATGTGCATTTTTATTGAATTTTCTGTGAAATTTGATTCTGTTTCCGAATTACTTAGTTCTTCGGTTTGGCTATATGGAGTACTTAACCTGAATTTTTATATATTGGAGAGAACATGACCTGAATTAAATCATTGCAAATCATTACGATTGTACACCCTTAGTAGTTGAAGTTAGCAGCCATAGAGGGGCAGAGAAGAGGTTACCTACATATGGTTTAAAAGCATCACTTGCTTGGAGGAGGTATACATGAATTTTTTTGTCTTTTATGTCTGGTATAGCAACATATTAGCCAATTTACGAATTGCTAGTGAACTCTATTGACTCTCCTAAATACCTCCTAATATTTGGGGAACTTCTAGGACTTTAAAAGCTTATGGGAAAACTACCCAGCTAACTAGCTCCCAATCATTCGTATAAGCTTCTCCTGTGTCAATCTATGCATTTAAACTCAGTATCACAGACACTTCAATTAGGATAGCGTGTCCGTGTCCGATACATATTAGACACGAGTTAATACCGACACTTCTCGGACACTCTATCGTAATCATTTTTCTTTTTATATTAGAAATATTATATATTGTTAATTCAAAATTATTAACAAGTAACAAATAGGTACTCGTGTTTAAAAGATTTGAACAAGAAAAATTAATAATAAGTATAAAACTAAATTTATACTATATAAATAAAGAATTTTTAAGAATTTAATCAATGCGTCAATGACGTATCGTGTCTGTACTTTTTTTAAAAATTACGTGTCCATGTCGGTGCATCATAGCATTTAAATGACAAGATGATATTCATGCGCTTGTTCTGAATGTGGATAACTCGTGATTTCCAGTGACTTCAGTGAGGTCTCCAAGACAAGTGATTGATGCACTAAACGCCGAAGGGCCTGACATAGATATCATTCTTTCTGAAGTTGACCTTCCTATGTCCAAAGGACTGAAGATGTTGAAATACATCATGAGGGACAAAGAGTTACGACGCATTCCGGTGATCAGTAAGTTCAACTTTTGTTTCTTTGTGCATCTTTTTAAGATGTTTGTGTTTTGCGATAATAGGTTGATTATCATTCTCTTGATGCTTCATTCCAGTGATGTCAGCACAAGATGAGGTCTCGATTGTTGTCAAGTGCCTGAAATTCGGAGCAGCTGACTATCTTGTCAAGCCATTACGAACCAATGAGTTATTAAATTTGTGGACTCATATGTGGAGAAGAAGGCGAATGGCAAGTACACTTTAATTATGTTGCTTACTTGTTTCCAAAGTATACATGTAAGTGGAGTTAAGGTAGTATTTCAGAGGTCATAATTCAGACGCATCCAAAGTAGATGTGAAAAACTAAAAGACCAAAGTTTTATGCTATCTACTCATTCAAATAGAAACACATTTTATTCATGGGTTCTGATACTAATTCAATTTAACACTTCTTTATTTTACATGTTCATTCTGATTGCATACCTGGGATGTCATGCATATGTAGTAATGTGCTCTTATGCACTGTGATTTAGTCATCATTTACTTCTTTGTCTCAATTTTTATGTAACTTTCTGCATCTCTTCTTTACATGGACAGCTTGGACTAGCAGAGAAGAACATTGTGAATTATGATTTTGATATGGTAGTATCGGATCCTAGTGATGCTAATACCAACAGCACTACTCTGTTCTCCGATGACACGGATGACAAGTCTCGAAAGAGTATCCATCCGGAGGCTTGTGTTTCGACTCATGAGGAAGATGAGGTGAGTTTGACATGGAGGTCTGGGTAATGATTCAAAAAATCTAAATATATGCTTAATCTGAAATCATAGATGGTGCAGATTAGTTTTGTTGATGCATTATGTTGCAAATGTGGTCATACACGAGAACATTAGGCATCTGAAAATATCTTCTTCTAATATCTGTCATTGAAGTAAACTCTAGCAGTGACTATGTGATTCTACTTTTTTTCAATGTACTAGATGTAAATGAAGGTATTTTTTGCATTGCTATTGTTTTTAGTGTAGGCACTTTTATATATATATTTTTAATGCATTACCTCATTCATTTAGTGCGTGTAGCACTGTGGCTGGGTGTGGGTGTGGGTGGATGTGTGTTGAGGGGTGAAGGAAAGTTGAGCAATGCACATGCCATATATTTTTGTGTAGAGTAGAACCTAGGTTCTGATGCTCAAGAGAACAGTTTTTGTCCCTTGAACTTAAGAGTCTACTTAAATAGCTAAAAACCTGGCCTCACCTAGACAGCATGTTCCGTCCACTTCTAATATGATTTTTCCACCCTTTGTGATCTACGAAATGAATAGTTTCTACTGGCTCTATTGACACATGGATGCATTGGTATTCAAATTCCTTCTGAGTTTCCACTGTACACACTCCATTTCTCAGCTTCTAGAGTTATTCAAATGCAAACTAGGGATCAAATGGGATGTTTTTGCTGGAAGTTCAAACTCTCCTTATCGTATTTTAACATTGTCACGTGATAGTTTTTTTCAACCAGAGATTATGGACCATGATTTTCAAAATAGCAATTTATGCTGTAATAAACAAGCAACTCTATTTTTTTGATAATCTTTAAATGACATTATAACCGTATGCATATGTTCATTTCTACTTCTACATTTCCAGAGTAATGCTACTGCTACTCCTATTGAGACTCCAACTGGGGCCTCTTCAGAGTGTCAGCCTGATGTGCCAGGAATTAGTGACAGGCAGACAGGTAAATGGCTTTTGTGATTTTAAATCAACTTACAATTCATAAAGAATGAGTGTTGCTGTCCAGATACTCTTTGCACACCGCTGTTATAATGTATTGTTTCACAATGCTTTTGAAGTTTGGTCTAACTTTTCTATTACATGGCTATTTATATTTAAATTGATGGTCACAGGATCATCGTTCTTGTTTGTTTAATGAACCTCAGTCTTTTACATTCCTTTATTGGACACAGGCGGAGAAGTGCTTCATTCATTATTCTCTATTCATGTGGCCAAATAGCTTCCCGGATTTATTGGTGTTGCTAATTTGTAATTAGACGCATCAGAGTTTTAGAATTTGAAAACAAAATTCTTTAGTTGAGATGAGAAGAAAAAAAATTATTGAACTCTATGTATTCTAGATGACAAACATTCTGTTAAAAACTTAAACGAAATAGCAGTGCAGGCATGCTTTTGAAGTAAATTTTAGTATACGAAGAGTAATTTGTTAGACTGAACTTAGAAAAAGGAATTAGATTGTTGTTTATTGAATGGGGTACATATACGTTAACTATGTGAATGGCCTGTCATTTAAACAGATTAAAGGCCTCACTTCCATTACAAGGAGATATTTCTAAGTGGTCATCCAAGTCTTGTAAATAATTTCATCATGCACCATATTTTATCTTCCTATAAAGATTTTGAGACAGTTCTCTGGATAGGTTGAATTCAAATTAACTTGAATATCTGTCAGCTCATAATGCTTTTGATTTTCAGTCATTTTTTTCTCGTTTGTCATAAGTTTCACATTACTGTGTGATTAGTTAAAATTTTTTTGGATGTGCTTTGAATTTGTTGTGAAGATTTTGACTGGATCTCCCTGCCATAAATCAGTAAATAATTAAGGATGATGAAGATAAGTTGCTGGACACAAGCCTGATGATACCCTTCTAAATAGGTCCTGAAAGTTGTTTACCATGTGATATGCTCCATAATGCACTAGAAATATAATTGTATAGCATTAAGAAGCAAAGGATTTCCAACTTTTGCCTACTTATTCAAGTCTTCTGATTTCCCGTTATATATGCCTAAAAATCTATCAGGGAAAATTTCATCGTTTCCAAAGAAGAGTGAGTTAAAGATAGGTGAGTCTTCGGCCTTTTTCACATACATCAAATCAAGCACACCCAAAAGCAACAACCACGGGGATGCCTCTGTTTGTGAAAATGTGCCTCAGAACTTGAGGATCAAGGAGAAGCTCACTACAATGAATGGGCAAGTGGGTGCTGATATCCAAGGACATGACAACAGAGATTCCGTGGAAAGTCATTCTCAAGGAGATGATTATCCAAGCAGTAATAGTATCCCTGATTCTTTTTCTATGGAGAGATCTTGTACTCCTCCCATATCGCTGGAAACCTCTCAACAGAAGAACTCAAATGAGGAGTTTTCTCAGGTGCATATGCATCCAAGAAATGGATCTCCCAATGATGGTGTAGGTTTCCATACAAATCCTGCCTATCCTTATTATATGTCAGGAGTAATGAATCAATTTATGATGTCATCAGCGGCTCTGTATCAAAAGAACCCACAACCACAAGATCTGCACTTTCACACCAATTCTGCTATATTACCTCAATACAATCATAATCCACACTATGCTAGTCATGTCCCTGGAATGGCATCTTATCCTTACTACCCTGTTGGTATATGCCTACACCCTGGCCAGATGCCTACAACAATGCATACATGGTCCTCACATGGAAGTGCATCCTCTAATGAAGGAAAGTTAAGCAATGTTGATCGTAGAGAGGCCGCTTTAATGAAATTCAAGCAGAAGCGGAAGGAGAGATGTTTTGACAAGAGGATCAGGTATGTCAACCGTAAACGACTTGCGGAACGTAGACCTCGTGTGAAGGGACAGTTTGTTCGAAAGGTAAATGGTGTTAATGTAGATCTTAATGGGCTACCGGCATCAGCAGAAGATGATGATGAAGAAGAGGAAGATGGTGAGGAGGAGGACCAAACAGCTAATATGAATTCTTTGCCAGAGGATGATGCTTGCCACTAATAAACTTCATTTAGAAGGTATACACTCTTTCTGGTCATTTACCTTCATCATGATACAGCTATACTTGAGGGTTTCTCATGTCTTAATCTTTCTACATGCTGCAGTCTATAAATTTATGTGGTTGTGTGATGTTGGTTAATATTCCATACAAGGCAGTGGACCTCCTCCGAGTTTCTAGCCAAGTGCTTCTCCTTATCCACTAGATTGGCAACTTGATGTACTAGATTGCAATCTCTTATATTAAACCGAATCTACTCACTTGGTCACATTGGCTGAGAGGTTTTGAACTTGTAGAGCCATTCTTAAGAGATTCTCACCAGGGCCTGGCATCAGAATCCTTTCATAATCTCTTCAGTCTGATAGAAGTGTTTTCCTTGAATACTGGACTTTCTGTGACCTCTCATTAGAGGAAAAGGTAAAATTAATGTGTGGTGTCATTGTTTAAAAACAGACCATTGTGACAGTTTATGAAAAACTTTATAATGTTAACATATATGGCTCTGGATATGACCTGGCTGCTGCTCGTGATTTGGTGCATCACAAGGTCGCATCTGAACTATAGGAAAAATTTGCTTGAAGTACTTTGTTGCCTCGTTAACTGCTGCTCTTTTAGGATAAAAGTTTACACTATTGGCATACTAGTCCTCGTGCATGATCAATTTTGATACTTGTTGAGAAAGGTTTGGTGAGTTGCAGCTGCATATCCTCAATTTGTTAATATTTTCCCGCCATGATGATTGAAATCATATCGATTAAGTTTCAAATTCAAGGCATGACTAGTGATGCATAGACATTTAAGCAGAAACACACATACAAAGGTGTCCTCAGTAGTTGGATTGGGCAGTAAAATCCCCATGTTTCTTTGTCTTTCCACTGCATAATGCGTTCACAGTGCAATGTAAAGTTCCACTCTAGATCATCTTCCTGCTACTATCGTCGGTTGTTGCTAAAACTAGGTTCTGTTAGATGTGCATTGGTTGCATTGTGGATCCTTTGATCTGGATTGTCTGATGGTCGTGTTTTGTATGTTTTGATTGGTTTGGCTTGTCGTGTTTTGTATGCTATGTGGACTGGAAACTCCAAGTGTTTCGGTGGACCTTTTGCACTGTGACCACATTCCAGCTGCTGAACATTGCTTGAGAGGAGTTGTCGGGCTGCTTAGACAACGGTGAAAGGATACTCAAACCAAAGAAACCCCAGAGCATTTTCTTGGTACTCTTGAACTATTCGAAAGCCTGCGAAAGTCAGAATTGGGACTAAATTATGGTGGTGCTATTGAATTTTCATGGAAAAACTTTGGCGGTCAGAATCATTTTCTTTCTTCTTCTTTCTTTTTCCTGTTCAAGCAGTCCGCAGTCTGAATGTCACCAGAACCATCGGGAAGCAGCTCATTGAAATTTGCATGAAATCTTAGCGATAAATGGGACCAAATTATCTGCATTTTTTATTAGATAAAATTAACCGGAGCATTGATCCATGGATACAAATTCAAGGTGCATTATTGTGGCAAATCACTAATTTTCCCATTGTGAAAACAAAATAAAACAAGTCATTTTTGCATTATTAAAAGGCTTGTACACATCGATTTTATTTTTTACTTCTTTCATTTTTTGTCCACAAGGATTAAGCTTAAAGAAATGCAACATTGTTTGGCTAAAAGGACAAAATTCTGATAAACTAAGTACACGACTCTTTATTTATTCAAAATACCTTGTGATCTTCATCTTATCCTTCCAAATGCTGCTCCTTTGATATTGAAGGACACGTCATCATTTCAAATTTAACGGGATTTCATTGAATATTTTACTACTAGAATCCCTTGATTTAGTTCCTGCTCTCCAATTAGATTTAAGCATGACACACTTACAAGGTTGTATCAAAAAGCTCAGCCTTCACACTAGCAATCTAGGATGCATAACGCAAGTGGATAGTTGTGGCTTGTGAGACCCTTATCGAGAAAATGTCAATGTCTTGATTGATGCCATGTCATGGTCGAAGGCGTGAGGGATGTTCGGACAATGCACAGATTCGAGAAGAAATGTAGCAAAATATTGAGTTGGTTTTATAATGCGCTAGTGATCGAGGCTTAACGATGCTGGATTTATTTGATAGCAGCATCGTAGGATGGAATTCAAGATGCAGGTTCGGCCCCTATTTGACACACATTCTTTCAAAATTCATTTTCAACCACACATTTTTCAATAAAATAATATTTTTCATTACATTAATAATTTTTTCTTACTTTTTAACCAAATATTTTACATCTTAACACTATTTAAAATATATTATTTCCTTAATAATATTCATCACACACACTTTAGATTTGGCATTGATCGATGGATTGATGCAGGCAAGTGTTCGGCGACGTTGAAACCTTGTTGTCTAACTGATTTCAATCTACGTGTTTAGTGCATTTTCAGACCTGATAGAGGCATGTGACGATGGTTAGGATTAGTTTTCCTTTGTGTTTGGAATTTTGAATGTTGGGGCAGTTGTTGGCCATCATGTTTATGTGGGGCTAAAAAATTGCCAAAATGACCCTAGCAGTTTAGGGTGTCAAATGCCATCAGAATTTGCTTATTTATTTGCCCAAGTGTTGAGAACATAAAAAGATAAATGGCAGATTGTTAAGAGTGATGAGACAATAGTGTGTGTTGACCCTTCACATTTTTATATATATTTCTTTGTTTTTAGTGAAAAATAAAGTTGGGACGGTTCTTGTAAAATCTGTATTCGAGTGCTTGCTTTACATATTTCAATCTTCTGCATTTACTTAGTTAAAATCCGTGTGTTTACGTTATTATCATTGCATAAAATGTGTATTGGTTGGTTGGGATGAAAACCTCGACGCTATCGCAGGGAACACAGAATAGTCTTGTTGACAATAGTTGTGGTGGTATTGTAAATGCATACTTGCGACCACACTATGGATCCTAGATTCATAGTAGTTTAAAATTAACTAAATTATTTTAATTTTTCAAATTTACGACACATGGTGGAGCAGACAGGATCCCCTAACACATGGGTGGTACCAAATTATGTTCTCATCACGTGAGCAAATACATGCATGAAAGAAAAAAAAAATTCTAAAGATTCACCTTTTAAAAAATCTAAATTTATAAACTATAATTTGAAAATGACATTATCGTATCCACAATATGTAATGTTCCTAACACGGAACTTCTTGTAATTTTATTTACATTAAAATTTTAGTTAATTGATTGAGGCGGACTGCCTCTTCTACTAGACCTTTCGAAATAAAGATCATGAAACGTTGATGCTAATTTGCTCCGTTTCTCGACTTGTATACAATTCGTTATTCCTTTTTTAATACAACTTCAGAGAATATTCTCGTACAATATTTTTCAATCAACATGAAAAACGAAAATAATCCGTTAAAAAAAAAATCAGAGAAGCATATAATAGTATAAACCCTTTTTTTTTTTGTTGTATAATTAACCTAATTGGGGGAAAAATTCAATAACTAAACCTAATTAGGTTTAAACTTAACCTCAAACTTACTTTTAAAAAAAATGAAGCAAAAAGTGTTTAATTAAGGTGGAAGAAGAAAACAAGGCGCAAGAGGAGGCGGGTCCGGCGGGATCCCATTCTCCACTGGCAGTGGCACCCCCTTCTTCATTCACTTCATCAATCCCATTTTCCAGTTTTCTTTCTCTATCAAACCCAATAATTCATGCTTCTTCTTCTCTTTCTCCACGCCAAAATTCATCCTCAAATGAATAATTATACATAATCTTTGTCATTTCTTGAAAGAGGGATAGAAAGAGAGATTCAGCCCATATACAATCACACAGAGAGCTTCAGTTTGACATATGGGTTCAGACAGCACGTCTAATGCTCAAAAAAGGACCTCCACAGTACTCCCGATAACCACCGGTGCCGCCGCCAACGGCGGTGCCCGCGGCCGTGCCAATTCGGTTCTTCCTCGTGGTCGGCAGATCCATAAGACGTTCAATAATATCAAGATCACTATACTGTGCTTACTTGTTACAATTCTCGTACTCCGTGGTACAATCGGTCTTGGGAATCTTGCTTCTACAGAGGCTGATGCTGAGAATCAGCTTTTAATCGAGGAGACCAACCGTATCCTTGCCGAGATCCGATCGGATAAAGACCCGAACGACCCGGATGATCAATCCGAAGAATTGTTTAATCCGAATATTACTTATAGTTTAGGGCCGAAAATTAGCTCCTGGGATACAGACCGCAGGACGTGGCTTCGGAAAAACCCGCACTTCCCGAATTATGTTAACAAAAAAGCTAGGATTTTGCTTGTTACAGGGTCCCCTCCGAACCCTTGTGATAATGCAATTGGGGATCATTACTTATTGAAGGGTATTAAGAATAAGATTGATTATTGTAGAATTCATGGGATTGAGATTGTGTACAATATGGCTCATCTGGATATGGAAATGGCGGGGTACTGGGCGAAGCTGCCATTGATTCGAAGGCTCATGTTGTCCCATCCTGAAGTGGAGTGGATTTGGTGGATGGATAGTGATGCATTGTTTACTGATATGACGTTTGAGATACCTCTTTCGAAATATAATGAGTTTAATCTCGTTATCCATGGGTACCCTGATTTGTTGTTCGATCAAAAATCCTGGATCGCATTGAACACAGGTAGTTTCTTGTTTAGGAATTGCCAGTGGTCTTTGGATTTGTTGGACGCTTGGGCACCTATGGGACCCAAGGGTCCGATTCGAGAGGAGGCTGGGAAGATATTAACTGCAAATTTAAAGGGCCGCCCAGCATTTGAGGCAGATGATCAGTCTGCTCTGATATACTTGTTGATTTCAAAGAGGGATGAGTGGATGAGCAAGGTGTTCGTCGAGAACTCGTATTATTTGCATGGATATTGGGCTGGACTGGTGGATCGGTACGAGGAAATGATCGAGAAGTACCATCCAGGGTTGGGCGATGAGAGGTGGCCATTCGTGACTCATTTTGTTGGTTGCAAACCTTGTGGGAGTTATGGGGATTACCCGGTTGAGCGGTGCTTGAAGAGTATGGAGAGAGCGTTCAACTTTGCGGATAATCAAGTGCTGAAGTTGTACGGATTCAGGCACCGGGGCTTGGTGAGTCCGAATATTAAGAGGATCAGGAACGAGTCCGTTACTCCTCTGGTAAATGTAGATCAGTTCTCTTTGCATGAGATCAGTGGTTAGTCTTCAGTGAGCAAAACTCTGTAGGTAATGTGATTTTCGGTTACATTTTCAGATTTGAGTTCGATATAGTTTCAGTCTTTTTTGAGTTTAATAGAAGTTTTGAAGTTAGTACAAACTATGGTTTCTTCTGTTACATTTATTTCTCTGGAAACATAGGAAAAGAGAATGATTTTGGTAACTTTGGTAGTTGTGGTGGATAAGTTGATATGAACTTATAAATATAAGCTTGTTGTAATATTTCAGTTTACATTAACGTTCTTGAGGTTCCCTTTTGCAGATTACCTTTCTTTTAAATACAGAACAAGTTCTCTTAGCACAAGAATTTCATAGGAAATGAATCTATCGACTCGTAATATTTCAATGGTTTCGTTGATAAGGTTAACAGTCATTAATACCTCTACTTTCTTCTTTTGATGTATGGAATTTAGTCTAGAACTACGAGAAAGTAAAAGGAAAATTATTTCGAAAGCTCGTGCCTTGAGGCACACCTTGCATGCTGCATTCAATGGGACTTGGATGAAACGACTCAACCTTCGGGATTTAAACTCAAAACCTCTGTCTTTATTAGAGATTTAAGTTGAATCTTAATACCAATTGGTATCTGAGGGTTGCGATAGAAACTCTTGAGAGTTATGAGCAAATGCTCTATCAAAGCGATTAATACATACGATAAAACGGATTAGGCATAGAGGATCAAGTTTTTACATTGGGAGCCTCAAACCTTACGCTTTTATTACTCTTTGTCTAGACTTGTGCCTTGATTTACTACCGCGAACTCTCCACTTCATAAGCATCGGAGATTCTTGAGGCATGTGTTGCTTAATCTTGTCATTTCAGGCTTTTTTTCTTATTAGCCTCGTATGTTTCGACATGTTTTTCTTTAGTTCAGACTGTTTGAATGATTTTGCTATATCGTTTTGAACACAACTCAACTCCAAAAATTATAAAGAATTGGGGAGTAGAGAGGATAACAAGGGGAGTAGATTGTACATGCCCTAGCCCTTCCTGCTGCAGGGCGCGATCCTTTCAAGTGAAGCATGGTGTGAAATGTTCAAGTGCTACAGATCAGCTTTTTAAAAAGTTAGTGCTAATAGTGTATATTACAATGGTGGGTCATAATGGGCCCTATTATCAAGGTCCATACGAATTGAAATCGGTCCTTTCCGGACCAGCCCATTAATTGGTCACATTTGACCTTACTGAGAGATTATACAGTTTGGTTCAACTTTGGCCAACCATAATATTAATTATTGATTAATTTATTAGTGCTAAAAAACCTAAACTTGTTACATTCCCATTATGTATAGAGTGGGTTAGATATATCTCATTAGCTTAACAGAATAATCAGTCAGGAGATCAACAAATATATTGACCCAAATTCTTCTTTTTTAAAAAAATTAAATTAAATTAAATAGACTCTATGTACTCAATAATTTTAAAATGTGCTCATCTCCAACTTTGAAAAGTTTTGACATTTTTGATTCATTATAGCTTGTGCAAGTCAATCAAATGTTAAGTTGATTAAGTATAAATTCGACTAGTCGATAAAATGGTAGAGTTGATAGAGCTCCTAACCTAACCAACTCAATAAAAGAAAGTGAATATGTTTAAGTATAAACTCGACTTATCGATAAAATGGTAGAGTTGATAGAACTACTAACTTGATCAACTCAACAAAAGAAAGTGAAGCGCGTTTACAAGAAAAAAATAGCATAAAAAAGTTTTATTTATTAATTTTTTGTACCTATTTAATTACACAATATGATATTGCCACCACAATTTTTTATTGTTGAACTACTTTCGAATTGCATTGAATGTCTCCAATCTTTGCTCATTATTGCACTTATATTTCAAACTTTATTCTTCGTCACATTCTTACTACTAACATTTCATTAATTGGCACATCTCTAACGATGATTTCATTGCAAAACATCCATTGGTGGTCGTAAAAAATTTATGTATTCCTCATATTTTGAAATAAAAAACAAATAGTCAAATACAAGTATGACAAACTTTTTGAGTTTTTAGGTAGAGTTTGTACCTTTCCCACAGGGAGGAATTTCAACCCAATTTAGGCAGCCCAAATTCACTAACAGCTAATTGAACTTTTGATATCAATAAATTTAAAGTCAAATCACATCCAACAAGATGTAGAAGAACCATAGCTTATATATGTGAATTGTATAATTAAGCCTGAATTAACTTTAAGGGGTTGCTCAATTGATTAAGCATTGGATTGCTCCTCAATGGTCATCAGTTCGAGTCCCCTTAGAGCCACTGAGGAGAGTACCCGACCGTAAACTTCAAGATCTCGTGGGATTAGTCGAGGTACGTGCAAGTTGGTCCGGACATCCACGGTTATAAAAAAAAAAAAAATTAAGCCTGAATTCTTTTTGACTACTATAATTTGGATCATATATCTATTTCTGCCATTAATATATAACAACTAGAAAATCTTGATAATCACAATAAGTCATGTTAATTTTGATTTCAAGGAGTGATTGTACCAAAGAGTATATTCTAAGTCATATTTAAAACACCCTCTTTTCATTTGCAAGCAACCCACCAAAGAGCCAAGCTTTCTTTCTAAGGTTCTCAACTTTTATGATGTTACACATTTCACTTTTTTTCTTTTTGTTATTTTGGGATCATCTTTTGCATAATATAAAAGCTGGTGTTTTCAGTGCCTTGTAATCTAACATAGGGATTTGGAAATCTCAAAGGCATTGTAAATGAGTTCAGACAAAACTGGTTGGTGAAAACAAAGCAGATACATCATCTTTGCTGGTGCTGTCAGTTTTAGTTGTTGGCCTATTCCTTAATCCAACCAACACACCTAATATCAATTACTACTTCATATATATCCCATTTCTGAACCATCTATATGAATCTCGGTCGGGACGACGTTGTTGTTATCGCGATGGACGAATACTCACAGTCAGTTCCAATAAGGAAAACAGCAGGCAGAATTATCAGAAGATCAATCTTTACGTTTCTGCAGAAATATCAGTACTTCACCTTAACTGCAGCACTCCTTGCGTTTCCATTTGCGGCCTCGACTCTACTATTGCAAGCATTCCTCCCCTCTTCTGTCCTTCTTGCATTTGTTCAAAGTCGTTTTAGAGCCCTTTTTCTAGCTGCTGGTTTCCCTCCCTCATCAGAATTTTTCATAATTCTCAATCTTAAGCTCTCTCAAACCATTGTTACATATATTCTTCTTCTTCCATTCTCCCTTTCCTTACTCCTGGTCGCTAAGGCATCGATAATCAAATCTTTGAACAATCATAGACCCGCAGAAGAACCTTCATTTTCTTCTTGGATTGCAGAATACAAACCCCTTCTCCAAACTCAAATTTGCAGCTCATTAGTCATCCTTTCAGCCAATGCTACTTGCTTCTCTCTTCTTCTTTTTGCTTTCAATTTTTTCGATGCATTAGACATATCTTCTCCAGTAGCCTTGCTATTCATTTCAGCGACTGGAGCCGTTATCTATTCCATCATTCTTGCCAATGCCTACATTATATGCAACTTGGCATTGGTGTTATCTGGAGTGGAGAAACGCGGGGGCTATCTTGCAATTCTTAAGGCTTGTGTTCTGATCCAGGGTCGAACTTCTACAGCATTGTCATTAGCCGTGCCGATCAACATAGCCTTGGCTGCAGTTGAAGCTTTGTTTCAATACAGAATCGTGAGAGCTTATCGTAATGCACTGTCTCTCAACTCATCTATGGCTTTCGAGGCGATATTTATTGGATACTTGTACGGCATTCTTCTCGTACTCGATACTATCGTTGGATGCATATTCTTCAAGAGTTGTGAAACAGCTTTCAAGATTGATCGAGAGGTTGGGCACTCTATTCAGATACAAATTGAAGATGTAAACGGCAAGTCCTTTTCAAGTTTAAATACTTTAAAAGAGCTTCCTCCAATTTTTTATACTAAGTGAATAGTTAGTTACACGATTTTCTCCCTTCGAATTCATTGAAAATTGAAAATTGGCAGCTTCTGTATGCATTTCGAAAGAACCTGTAGATGTTGTAATTAATTGTAAGCCTACTTGAGTCTGTATTGAAAATGAAATGAAAAAAAGAAAGAAAAGGAAACTACTTGAGTAGTCTTTTATCGATTTTCGTTTTCAAATACAACAAAAACTGACTCTTAGTCCTCACTATTTTGTTCTGTTCATCATACAAACAAAGAAACACAAGCATCTGCACATCAATTTCTAGGAATGACATAGATATACACAACCAATAATGTGAGAGAGACAAAATATTATTTCCCCTAAATAAATGAAAATATTTAAATGCTTTGTAAAAATTGAATCTAAAAGAACAGAAGAATTTCTGAACCTAAATCCTATATTGAAGACTGCACTTTTCTGAATACAGGGTTACAGCTCTGTACAGGTTTCATAATACAGTATGATCATTGGCTTTACAGTTTCGAAAGGCACAAGAACGGATTTAGGGGGACTGGGCCGGGGTGTAGCCCGGTCCAGTCCAAGGCCCGTTAATTATTTTTAGTGTATAGAAAAAATTCTTGTAAAATTTTTTTTTACGTATAAATATATTTTTTCTACACAGACTTGTAGTCTATCCTGGATCCGTCTCTAGAAGGGCACCCTCTTGGAAGACATTGGACATGGGCGGAGATACAGTCCACCCTTACCCAAGCCCAGCCTTTGAAAAAAAAAATTGGTTAAAACCCAATTTGCAACCCACCTAAAATTAAACCCAATTCTCACCCATTTACCCAAAACGCGAACCCTCTCCGCTCTCTCTCACACCCTTCGTCCCTCTCTCACTCTCTGCTCTCTCTCTGTCAAACAGTGAAGCTGCGAAAGCCAAACCCTTCGTCCTTCTCTGACTCTCTCAAACTCGAAACGACGAAACCCTTTGTCTACCGTCTACCGAACGTCATCTGTGACTGAGAGAAAGGTAATTTTTTTTT